TGTGTGTGTACGATTATCGGAGCACGAGGCGTCGTCGCGATCGATAACGCGCCAAGTCGCCAGTGTGCCAATGGGTTTCCCCGCACCGCTGGCTGACGGCGGTGTGTTTACACACCAACGAGTGCAGTATCCGGGGGGAGAACGAGAGTGCATCCCGGCCGGCTGCGCGTCGTCCTTCGGGAGACGTTTTCGCGACCTTCGCGGACGATTGCGCGAAGGCTGCGTTCCGGCGACGGTGACGGCGGCGGTGGCGGCGGCGGCAGCGGCGGTGACCGCCCGATACCCTCGTCGGCGGCGACGCTAGAGATCGATAAACGGCGGCTTCAGCTGTGTTACGGCGGCCTTGCTTGGGTCGACGGGCCGCGCGCGCGAGTTTAACACGCGGCTTGACGAGAGACGGCGAGCTTGTCCTCTCGATCTCGCGCAGCGCGCTGGGACGCACGCGGAAGTAATCTCGAAATAATCCCGCGACTAAATTTAACGGCGGAACGATAGTGCGCCGATAGCCGCGAAAATAGCAAGTGACCCCGGCGGAGACGCGAAGGGCAAGTGCACGTAAGAACGACGATCGGTCCCCCTTATTTATCCCCGGCGCGCAGGTTTCAACCATTGATCATTATGTTCATCGGGTTTTCGATGTCCCTAAAAAGGGGCTCGGCTAAACACTGTATCGTTCAGAGTCGTTCCTTTGCGGCTCTGCGAATCCGCCATTGATAATCGTCCTGCACATTTCACGCGTCAAATCGTGCCATTAGTCTCGCGTCTTGCCGTGTTATTTCGCCGTGCCAAAAAGCAATTGCCGTCAGCCAGAAACGCGAGTTGTCACGTCGCGCTTTGAGCGATGATCTTAGCCGAGTGTCGTCACGTGCTATGCCTGAGCGGCAACGGCAGGCGCAATGACTTCTCTAGCTTGCGTATTGTAGCGTCTATCGCGCGCGGTTGAATGCACGTGCCGCACAAAATTTTATACTCTGTTTCAACGCCTCTCGTTTTCGCGAGTGCGCTTGACAGCGTTCGCCGTTGAGAGCTTTTCGCGCGTTAAATTGGATTCCATTTAGCAAATTTAACCCGCCATTTAAATTTAAATTTAAATTTTGCCAATTTAAAACGCCGTTTCGATTTAGCATTGTAAATCGCAAAATTTAAATTGAACATTCTCGATATTCTAAAGGTCAATAAAAATAGAATTGCCAAAATTGTAATCGAATTTGACGTTCCGAAGCAGTTAAGAAATAATTATAGTTTTTTTTTAGCTTATTTTTGCATTCTATTCGATGGAGAAGGAAAAGAAATTGATTTGTTTAGCTCTTATGTTATTTGATAATGTTATTTGATAATGTCAATTGGAAAATTTGACCTCAATAGATAAGAAAATCCCATTGCTGGAGAGCAAATTAACAAATGTTGAGTTAAGATAAGATCGACAACATTCTAAATTTAAAAGAAATAGATACGGCACGCTAGCGTTTACCATTGCGCTTCTCGATTATCTTAGCGAATGTCGTCAGATGTGTATTATGCGTTCGTATGAGTGTGTATGTGTGTGCGTATGTGTTATACTTGAACCTGTACGACAGACAGCCCAATGACTTCAATGTGCGCCGTTGTCTGTTGCACGTGTCTTCTCGGAGCGCTATATCCACCGCGATTGTTTAAAATTCAATAAACTGTTCCGCGGACAGTACACGGGCTCTTATTGTGGAAAATCAATGCTCCGAGATGGCATTCAGTGCGCGCGTTGCACACCGGACCGCTGCACGAATCGCAAATGTGTGCCGTCGCCGTTACCGCCGCCGTTACCGCCGCCTGCAAAAGCCTCGTTTTCACGCGGCATCAATATGACCCGAAATGTCACGACATTTACGCTTATAACCGTGCGCGATCGCATCCGCGAGTGCGACTTAGTTCATGCGTTTCGCATCTAAATAACACGCGATCGTCTTGCGCGATTGAAGTAACATTTACGGAGGATAAAACGCAGCGAAAACTTGCTTTTTGCTTGTTTTGTGTCGCGAAAATCCTACTCGATTGATCACAGTCTCGTCGTTTCTCCCGGAAAAAGAACACTTCGTGACGGTATCCTGTTTGCGTCAAGAAAAATCGAACTCCATTGCAATTAGCGATTGCATCATTGGCCCATTTTCGAGGGACAAAACCGTCATGACAATATCCCAGTTATATTACGAAAATCGAATTTATATGCGATTGGAAATTTATTGCTTTATTGTTGAAGCAAAAAAACTATCGCGACTCCGTTTATTTATACGTCACGCAAATCAAAGTCCGATTCGTGAACATGAATATCATTTTATCCCGCGGTAATATTATAGCGCGATTCGGCTTTCAAAGAGAGATTTATACACTGACAATCGTTTAACAATACATGTCAAGTGAAAACGAGACATTACTGTTGCGCGGATCGATTTTACGAAGCTATCAAAAGAGCGCGCGCGCGTGTGTGTGTGTGTGCGTTGCGATTCACAAGCTACACGATATCAAGATTTTCTTTGAGAAGAAAATTTGTTTAAAATGTTTTATTTATCAAAAAAATTTCGAAAGTTATCGGCATGTATAAAATATTTTGCAGCATTTATAATACTTTTTATACGTGAAAATATTTCAAAGGGCTTACGTATGCTTATGATACATAAAAATTATTCAAAGTAACGCTTATTCTCGTAATATAAATTCTCTCGCTATTCACGGGCGTTTCAATCGAGCAGTCAAATCTGCATCTCACTGGCGGCGCATGAAAGAGATTGTGTCTATCGGCGCGCCATGCATAAAATATAACGCCTCCTCCTCTATAACGATGGCATATTTTTGTCGTTGACCCGTGCAGGATACTAGAATTAACGCGCCCGATCGATCGTTTTGCAGGACGATATGCCATCCTCCCCCCCCCCCTTTGCTCGCACGCTCTATAATAATGTTATCGATCATCCTCTGCCTTTTAATTACGTCAGCCTATCTCCCAGCTTTGAGAATACATCGCATTCTATTGATAATGCATAAAATACGTCACTTTTGCGACTGTGACGTGAAAAGGCGTATCGATTATCGCCATTTTGTTGTATTATTTGACGCCCGAGCGGCGGAAATAGAATCGCAACGCACACACACGTACATGAGGAAATTGATTTTTGTCACAAATTCAAGATATTTCTGTTTCCACGTGACTTACATTTCTAGAGACTGTGAAAACAGTAGGGCTTCTTGGCGAACTTGAATCCCAGGCATTCACCTAAATTAATTGAGGGCTTATGTCTACTTAGAGTAACGCAATTTACAATTTTGTGGTCCAACGAGGAGGAAGGAAAAATAATTCAAACAAACCGAATATGGCATGAGAAAACTACGTCGTTCAATTTATTGCACGAATTAGATTGCGTGGCTCTCTTGCCTGTGAACCCATATAGCACCCCAGTACATATCGATCTGGCTTTCCGCTTTAGCGTGGGCCAGGCGCAGTCTTGACGTTAACCTTGAACTTCAACCTCGGCATTAGCGACCGGTCGCGAGAGTCGCGTTCGTCTCGCGATCCACCCACGATCGACACGGTCGATCGATATTGCTTCACGATTGAGAACAATCGAGCGTCCGAAAGCTAAAACGCAGAAAAAATTAGTCTAAAGCACATAAAACGTCTGGCTTGAGAATAATTGATTAAATCTGAGAGAATCGGTAAATGTAGGGGTGGAGTTGAAAAATTAGATTCGAGTCACTTGCGTCAAACTGATGATTCGAAATCGCCGAGTTTGGATGTCGTGCGACAAGATCATCAGACATCGGTTGAGGGGAGAAATCGCGGAATTACAGTGGCGACTTTGAGCATGAAAGTGAACATATTACGGACTTGTTCCAATTTTGTGCCTCGGGTAACCGTGTATTAACTCCAAAGATATTTCCATAACCAATTGACGTGTCCGACAACCTTGTACGCGCAAGTGTAACAAAACGAGCAGCAAATTCGAGCGGCACGCATACACGCGCGGGGAAAACACTCGCGCTTGTGCATTTCGTGTGCAATTGCCTGTGCATTACGTAAGTCCGTGGCCTGTCGCGTATCTGTATCCCTCCGAGAGAACGAGCCGATGTCGATGGCGAGACAAGGCAATCGCATTTCCTGCGTGCGTGTGTGGTCAAGGTCGCGAGCGTATGCGTGCGAATCGCGCAGTCGGTCGTCGCGCGAGAGAAGAACGCCGGCTTGTTATTTCGAGATCGCGGCGCGAGAAACTGCATAGAAGCCGGCGATAAATATTTTTAGAGCCTCTCGCCGGCGAAGAAGTGCGCTTTTAGCCGTCTGGAGTCCGAGACCAACGCTTTTTATAAACAATCCTATGACGTGACCTCGTACGCCAACGGGCGCTAATAACGTCGCTTGATTACTTAATATCGAACGCTTTATCTCGCGCTTTGCCACGCTGGCAATTCTACTTTAATTAGTCTCGGTGCGTTTCGTTCCGCGCCGCTCAGATTTTCGCGACCAGATAACAACCGGACACGTAAAAAGAATATCTTGGTCTGCACACACGTCGCTTAAACATTCTCAATATCCTGGGTTTTTACGCGGCGTACATTTATCTCCGTCTGCCTTTTTACACAATCGCGGGAGAAAAGCAAAATAAATTATCGAAAAAAAAAGCAAGATTTATGCCAAGTCCCACTCGGCATTATCGTGGTGAACGAACGAAAGCGAGAGTATAGACCGCTTCTGTATGAAGGGGAGGGGAGGAGACGTCTGCGGAGCCACCGACACTTTTTGCGAATTTCTTCGACACGCGCTTTTTCCTCCACGTGCGATCGGGCCGCCGGCAGGATCGAGTCAGCACATTCGTCTTCTCGTCTGGTATCCTCGGAGATTCCCGAGGGACGCACCCACGTTTTCTCCACCCGCCCGTCCGCGAATTTCGGGCGGCACGACCGGCGGCGACCTCGCAAGGGGCAAAACTTTTCTCCTTCGGGCTTCTCTCTTAAGGTCCGTTTATACATATCCGTACCGTATCCGTACCGTGTCCGTACCGTACACGTCCGTGCACGGATGCTAGATTCGATTCCATATGATTAAATGTAAGTATTTACACTATTCCGTATCCGTGCCGTCCGTGTCCGTACCGGCACCGCAGATGTCGTTGACGACGATATTTTCACGGATCGGACGGCACTGAACGTGTCGGTACTGACAAATGTAAATAGGCTTCAGTGTAGCATTCAGATTTTTGAGTCTTATTTTGTATCAATCTGCGATATCGAGAGCATTCTTTTAAAATTAAGAAATGAATTAAGATAAAATTATTTCAACATAATTGATAGAATTAGTGCAACAACACATCGAATTATACGATCTTTCCCATCTAAAATATCTTGATGGAATTTATAAAGAAAAACTGTGGCAGAGTATTTCTCAAGAACTTGACCAACCAGGTAATTTTACTCATGATAAATATTATTTTACAAATAAATTTTTATATTCATTAAATATTATTTTATTTGAAAAAAAATACACAATTTTCTTCAAAAATTTATACATATGTAGGAACGTGTTTTCGCTAGCCGGTTCTCTCCATCTTGTATATTGTTTTCGTATTTTATTATCAATTAAATTGAGTAACACATTAAAAGCATGTTCTGACATTCTAAAATATTGATAAAATTTAGTTGCATCATCAACCAATTCTTTATATGTAAAATGTAAAAAATTTACCTTTTGTTTTCGTTTTGTCCATGCTTTATCAACCCATAAAATCCGTTTTTTTTTTTTAAAGTATTTCTCTTCGTCTAAAATTAATGCTATTACCGCTAATTCGTTTATCGATAGCTCTGCCATGTTCACAGTTTAGATATATGTCTCAAGACTGATGTTTCAAAATATTCACGGATGCGAGCCGGATATGTGTAAATACTCATATCGAATCTTGCCGGTACGGTACGGACACGGTACGGATACGGTACGGATATGTATAAACGAACCTTTAATGCGCAAAAAGCGTAAAATACGGCTGTCTGCGGCGTCGACGGGCTTTTGATCGAGCCGGTGCGCTTGCGCTTATTCCTCGCGCATCGAATAATCAAATATTCAGATTACACAGGGTATTCAGATTCGAGTACGACTCGGTGCGCGGCGAGAGAATTTCACTCGGGATACGAGTCGTTCCGTGCGATCGGACAGCTGTGTACCGCGCGTATCGTCCAATCCGATCCAATTCAATTGATCGCGAATAACACGGCGCGTCTCCAGGCTCTCCTTCGGTTCTCACCAAGTTCCGTCCGATCCGTTCTCCGGTGACAAGATAATTTGACGAACGACAGAGAAAGGATATCTGCCTCTCCAGTCGAGAGACACGGCGGCGGCCACGCTCGGTTGTTTCGCAATCCGGGCCACGAATAAAAATTAAAACGCTGCTTACATCCGTGACTAATTGCACGCGTCATGTCTGGCACACTTAAGGCAATGTTTTACGAACGTTGAGATTCTCCTTTCATTGTGGGCCGAAAGAACGCGCCGAAGAACTTACACCCGCTGATTACGCGTCGGTTTTAACCTTGTCAATTGTATCCGCACCGGCGGAGGGGGGGGGGATACGCCGGATTATTTATTACATTAAATTCGATAAGAGATAAAATGGGAAATAACATGTTTACGGAAGATACGTTTGCTGCGATTTTGTGTCTCACGGTTGGACATTCGCTGCGATTAACCTGGAAACTGCGCGGTAATAATGGACAAATTGTTTGATGGATGATAAAATCGATGAGATAACGTTGCACATTCGAAATCGGAATTATGAATATGTCAGTCAACATGAAAGATTGCAATATACACTATCAGAATATCATACATATTCATCGCCGGGATCTGCAAAAAAAGATAACTCGTTTTGTACGAGTTATTAATAATAATAAGCTTTCACAAACGTGATGCAAAATAAATCCTGAACGCCAACGTTTTAATAGCTTTGTAGCATTTTTTCCCTTTATTTTCCGAGGTTTTTTTCTCTCTTTATCTTTGCCTTACTATTCGAATAATTAAATATTTTTATACAATTGAAATTTATTTCAATGAAAAGAAGCTAAGAATTGTAATTCACTGATTGAAATAAACGTGAAAGTTTGGATTGAGATTATAATCAAGAGCATGACTTGGTTATTGCCTGAAGCCCTTCACTAGAAGGGAATACGAGCTAGTTGTCGGTGAATGTCGGATTCAAGGTCGCTGCACGATTTCGTGGAGGAATTTTATTTTTCCGTCCGTCCGGTTCTCCTTCCTGCTTCTAAAACACAGTTCTTTCTATTATAGAATAGTTAAATTAACGTGATCGTGCGGTCGATCACAAACGAACCAAAGAAGTGCAGTGAGCAACCATACCAAATCGATACCAAAAGAAGAAGTTTAGCTCGTGCGTGGGAGGAGAGAGGACAGAAGGTTGTGGAAGGGAGGACTTTTGCGAGATGACGCGACGTGGACGGGGTTAGAGTTCTGTTTGAAACAACAAAGAAAATAAAAAAGAAAGAAAGGAGAAAGAGAGAGACCACGGGGTGGTGTGTGCATCGGGGGGGGTGTGTGTGTGTAAAAGAACAAAAATCGACGGTTCACGGTGACGAGTGAAAGTAGAGCGGGAAAGCAGCCGGGCAAGATGATGAAGAAGGAGAAACCGATGATGTTGGTGACGGACATCATCCAAGGGACTCAGGCCCAGCATTGGGCGCGTGGCAACACCTGTACGTATAAATGTCAACATTCCTCGTAATTGCCGTGCGTTAAGTTCACGGATCACGAAACATGAGACGACGATTTAATTTCAGCGCATCGCTCAATTACTGTTATTAGTCGAACATGCGTTTACGTAACGTTTATGCAAGTTCGTAATAGTAGTCGAATATCTCTTACCTTGTCACTGGGGCGATTTGAAGATACATTCCTCAATAATACGTCCTATTAGAATGTTTTATTACTATTTTAAGAGAGTTGTTCCGGCGAAGTCTCGAGAGCGTATAATAAGACCGGCGAGACTTAATAATTATTCAGTAGTATTTATTATGATGGTTACACGGTTGCTCATTAGGTCTCTGATTTTAATTAAGATTAACAAATGAGTCATATCGAATGGAATCGGGACAGGAAAGTCAAGCGGATTTTCGCGGGTTTTAAACAAGGGAAAACTTAGTCAAACGCTTGGAACTAATTAGCGAATTTTATGTGTAATTATAGACGCGCGCGAAGTGTAATATAATACATTCTTATACGACGACGTGCTCATTAAAAGTAATTTAATATTGATGAAATCACCGGCAATGAGATCGCTGATGTTGATGATTCAATCGCGCATTTTTCTCGTAAGAGCGCATGATTAAAGTCAATAAAAATTCTGCGTTTCATTAGCGATTTGCTCATGAATGCAATTGACTTCGGGCGATTGTTACTTTTGCGGGATACGAATAAAATTTGTATTTTTATAATGAAGAAAGTGGGATAATGTTATTTTGACGATATAATTCTATATCAACGAGCTGTATAACAAAGATAATAATTGTATTGTGGCGAAGAAGACGAAAAGTGATGGGCGATTGTGCTAATTAACGCACATATTATTACTTCCAAGTATCAGTGCTGTGAATTGGAACTTAAAAGTATCTAAACAGGACGGACTATCTTACGAATGATAATTAGCATCGCAACGCTAGACTTTCGATTAGCATGATTTTCAAGGCTTGGTTTTACTACATCGCAATCAACCAACAACACTTCAGATTGTTAGAACTTCAGATAGTTATTTTTCTCCGCCACGACCATGAAGCTAAGTGCCGCGTAAACAATTAATTTCACTTCCTATACGTCTTGTTGTTAAAACCGTCGTAAAAATACCATACTTCGTCGTAAAAATCAAAGTTAAACATCTTAATCTTCCCAGCAAAATTCTATTTTTGAGAAATTTATAAGTAGTCTGTGAAAGACGTGCTCTTTTCGATAGAAAAATTCAAAAATTGTATTAAATTAGCAACCAAAAAAAAAAAAAAAAAAAGTACGGAAAAGTCGTTGTGTTACGTGAATTGTGTTTTGATCGATTCGAGGATATACAGCACGTTGATCTCAAATTACTATCGTAGCCGTCCCGACGCGCTCAAGCGAAGTGAGTCACCCGGTCCGTGCGATAGCCTGCCGTTCTGCAACGGAGCGACCGATACGCGCCGCACAGTCGACGCATATACATCGTATATGTAGATGCTAAATGTACGGGGTGAAGGTCGGCTATTGAGACGTGAATGGCGCAATTTGCGGCTGCGGCGGCGAGCGAGCGAGCGAGCGAGCGAGCGAGCGAGCAAGTAAGCAAGCAAGCAAGCAAGCAAGCAAGCAAGCAAGCGCGCGCCTGCTCGTTATCAGTCGCCGGCTCTAAAAGCGGCCTTAGAGCGGGTTTTAAAACGCGAACGAGCGAGAGTAAGCGAACACGGAGAAGGTCACGCAAATGCGCCTCGTTATCAGCGCTCATGGACGCGATTTACGAGCGTTTTCGAGTCTTATCGCACGTGTCCCTATTGCCGTGCAACACGCGCTTAATGCCTCGTTCGCTACAGCGCCTCGTTCTTGCCGGAATCGGCACACGAATACGGGAACTTTTCGCGGAAACATATAAATATCGCGATGCGTGCCGATCGGCGGAATCAATGATCGATATATCGGAAAGAAATTGCTATCGAGAACTGACCAAATTAACATTTTGTGGCGACGAAATCTCACATGCATCAACTGTTCTCTCTGATAACAGCTCTCTATTTGAACACTCTGTTTCAAAAATAGAACAAAGAACTGCTTGTTTTTACGTCACAAAAATTTTATAGACACATCAATATTAGTTCTGTTCGGCGCCTGTTATATTAATTATTTATTTTTATATTTTACTTATTATTTAATTATTTTTCTTCCTTCATTGCTCCGTCGTGATTGTACTAATCATCAAAATTCGAATCTGTAGTGGTAAAATCAGATTAATTTTGCCCCAGGCGACGAAATTCATGGTCACGGATCTGATCGCGATCGATCATCCCGTGACAGGCGTGTGTCTTAAATGGACGCGCGTTGTTTGCCGACTGGCATGAAATCGCTTCGCAAGGCTGCGCCGTCGATCGGATTATCGGATAAGATCCGTCCGCGTGCTCTTTCGCGTTATCGTCCGCTATGCACCAAGTAAGTTTTCGCGTGTAGATAAAAATGCGATACGCGAACTTATAGAGATACCGCGTGCATTATTGTCGGACAACGAGCACTTACACACCGCCGTTCCTTTGCCGTCGTCTTATCGCATCGAACTGTCGATCAATCATACGTTGGTATCCTCGCCGTTGAATTATGTATACGATGTACAGCCAAAGTCACGATCAATCTTCTAACGGTCTAGTTTTTAATCGATTCTAAATGTTTCAAAATGTTTCTGCACAAATTTCTAATGCGAGGCAAATTGATCGGGACGGTCTCGTTCCGTTTCATTCGTAATGAGCGTTTGTAACCGATTGCCAGCTCTTTTATACCGAAGAAACATAAATTAGCTAACGATTACCATTGATCTGTTGCGAATTACATCATTTAGATGAACAACAGTACTAATTATACTTTTATCGATACGCGATCGAGTACTTTGCGAGGTTGTATGACACGCGTTTATTACTATTTACCGTAGTGCAGCCGTGATCATGCCGCCCACAAGTGGCATAGTTTTAATATGGCGATTGCATTCGCAAAGATGATTGCGTCGCGGACGTCTTTGATGATTCCAGTGCAGAATGTTGCTCTAGAATTTGCAAAGGCGGCCGAGTTCTTTGTACATTCATCGCGCTATCGCGTTTATCGTACAGCTTGTTTCTTATCCCGAAGACTATCGTGCGTATTCTAAAGATATTAATTGATGTGCGATCCGCCTAGACGAAAATACATGTTGTTTCGTGCGGTTTCGCGTTTGCATACGTTCACAAAAGTCATCGCTGTGATATATTCGATTCATAATTAAACATTTAGATAATGGCGCATAGTTCCGTTCTCATGATATTCATAGCGCGATTACACGGCATACATTAATTTGTATGTATGCTAATGTGTATTTACGACGAGAATATTATATTATGTTAATAAACATCCGGTTGATAAAAATATCGCATCGCGGTCGTTACCGATAACACATTATGCGCCATTATTATTGACAACGTCTTGAATTTTATCACTACTCCGTATCGATTCTGTTCTGACAAGAGATCATTAAATATTAACGGAACGGAGAGCGCCTGGAAGGACGCAAATAGGCAATTGATATAAGTAGTTTTGTGTGTCGAGTTCCATCGGTTTCCACATAAATCCACCGCTAATCTCGCGCTCGTAAAGCGCATGAGAATCCAGGCAACGACTTGCGCAACGCTTGCCGCCAGATGATACATATACCAATAGGCGCGATTCATAGAAATTGCACTCGCCTCTATCTCTCTCGGTAAATCCTACGGCCGCGTTTACTTAGCCTAGATCCCTGCCTGCACCGCCGCCGTCGTCTTCATTTCTACATTGTCGCATACACGTTGTGTACGCACAACTGTGCACACACACACACACACACACTTAACCGCACACGTACACACGCGCACGCGCTGTGGAATGCGTGCGCGCTACACGATAAGCTACGAGCGCGTAAGAGCATCACGCGAGTTCCACACGCAGAGGCCTCGAGGCCTCGCTACTCTAGCGCGGCTAATGCACACGGGTACGATGCAACCTTGGCACCGATGGGAACGAGCCGTGAAGTGCAGGTCCTGCTATCGCGCATCATGTGTACGCGTATACCCGCGTATCACGTATAGCACCTTCTATTGAATTAGGCTCGCCGTGTGTGGGTGCGGACGTTTTTTTACGGCGCGCCATCCGTGCGCGCGCTTCGTGGGCGCCGTAATCAGACGGAAGGGCCTATTCAGCGTTATTTTTAACCGTGATTTTTTTTTAATTGCGAACTTCAACTCGCGACAGGATGTGTTTCTCAAAACTGAAATCTCGCATGTTTCTTTGTCGGTTTTTTTTTTTTTAAAGGATGCGCAACAACAATTGCGATGCGGACGCAATTGTTGTTGCGCGAAAGGTGTTAAATTCTAAAGTTATTTTTCGCTCCCCATATGAACCACGTCGCGTGACGATTGCGATCGACGGAAGTTCTCTCGTTGCTCGGCGCGAGCACGAAACTACGGAGCGACCAGGTATCGTGCAGAAGGAAGCGATCGTTTATTATAGTCACGTTGGCAGGTTTCTCGCGATGGCTACTGACCGAATAGATGTTTCTATCGCGTATATACTATCGCACACTCTCGCACGTTTGCTATTCTATTATTAACCGGCATTACGTGTATGTTTTTGATAAATGTCAGAGAACATTTCGCGACATATTATTAACAATATCATAATTCATCGCTATTAAATTAATTCGCTCGACGCATAAACATTTGTTTTCTTCCCCGCGAGTCTAAAATTGAGATTTTTTGCGGGATTAGAAAAATTTCCACTGCCATTTTCCAGCGATTCGGGATAATATTGAAGGCTGGAGCGTTAAATTTATAAATCTATACCGGAATACTGGAACATGAGGAGAGAGAATCACGTCAAAATTGCACCCGCGGCGAATAACAAGATGATAAGGTGCATCGCGTATGCCGGCCTCGTAATACCCTGTACGGGAATTTTCTTCACGTGGCGTGGTGCG